ACCGCGTAAAGGAATTTGCGGTCCAAGTTGCTTTGCTATCCGAGATGGAGAAATCTTCCACCCTATAACACCCAGTCCAGCCCCTTTCCTTCGGCCTCACTCCACCCAGCGCCCCTCCACGCCAGTTTACTTCAGCCCTGATCATCCGTGGCCCCAGTCACCCCAAGGCTAGTTTCTCCGTAGAACCCTTAAGCTTAACTATCCGCAGAAGTTGGAATCTGTACGTACCTATTCCACGACGGAGCTACAAACTCACCCCTACCCCTTTCCACCATGAAGAGGCACCCTTCGTTCGGACTTGAACGCTCAACGGTACCGATTCGAGCTGTATTAGCGCTAGGTAGTGGGGATGAAGGTAGCGGAAACAGAGATAACGGGCTAAAAGACGGGAAGTGAAACGAAAATCGGTCCAGGTATTTTAGAAAACGAACGAAGACTTTGAAAAACTAATTCAGAGGGGACGGAATTGACTGGTGGATTCGAAGAAGGTTAGTACAGGCTTTACACTCCAAATTCGTAGAATATATTCACCTTTTCGCGAATTATTTCTTCTTTTATACTATTTTAATTAGAATAAAATCCAATTTAATAAAACCTAGTAAAGCTAGTTGAAGAAAGCTGGATAGGAAAAATGGAAAAAGGTTAATACTGATATCTAAATTGCTCTAAAAATTAGGTATATGTTGAAGAAATGATTTATACTGTCCCTTCAAAGTATTATTTAATTTAGTATGACACGAATTAGAATTAAAAATTAAAGAAAGTTGGAGAAACTATCTATTATACAATTATACAATATTTTATTATTGTATATTATACTATTATATAATTATTTATTAATTAGTTATTATATCATTAATTATTGTATATTATACAATTATACAATATTTTATTATTGTATATTATACTATTATATAATTATTTATTAATTAGTTATTATATCATTAATTATTGTATATTATACAATTATACAATAATTTACTCAGGTATAAAACTAGTGTTTGGATTAATTTCGTGGAATTTTTGTCTGAAATGATCTGCTCACAAGTACTTCTATATATACAGCTTCCCACTCTCTTCACTTGAAATAGAAAAGAGATATCGATCAATCAAAGAACACAAAAGAAGATCCTAACGTCCACCTTGCTCTACAACTTGCTGCAACGTTGAATTCATTCCGGTTTCAATAACCAGGTTCTCATCACCCTAACCATAAAACCAGATTATCAGAACCTGTTAGATGTCCTGTTAATTCGGAACGTCTCTAACTACTTTCTCCCAGGAAATAAATATTCATCGATCGATATTCGTCTTCAGACTCATCTACAAGAGTTCAAATGTATCTTAACGTAACATAAATCTCCAAACTAGATCAGTGTTGATCCTCCTCTAGCGCCAAAATAAATTGCAACAACTTACTCGAATTCATCCTCTGATAAAAATTAAAAAATAACCAAGTCAGTACAAACATATTTTCTTTAAACATTTTTAATATTTTTCATCTCGAAATGAAACTTTGGAGTGCAATTTGTTCATCACTGGAGCGTGTTAGAGTTGCTGATCGATGAAATAAAAATATTCTCACAGTGCAAAAGGTTATCGAAAGTCGATGAGAGAGAGAGAGAGAGAGAGAGAGAGAGAGAGAGAGAGAGAGAGAGAGGGGGGGGAGTACCACAATGATGAGTGAATCTCCGCACTGCAAAGGGCAGATGGAAGTTAGAGTAATATTGATTCCGCGTAAGACTGCCCGAGGCGAATCTTGTGAACGAAGATTGAGTTGCGGAGACGTATCAGACAGGAAACGAACAGACAGGACGCAAAAGAAGGAGAGAAGCAAACTCGACAGCTAAATCACGTATGCATGTATACGTGGAGACGAAGACGATCAGTAGTTTCGCTCAGATTGAACACGTGGACTACGAAGTCAGACGGAAATCTACATCGTCGAGAAATTATGGATGCCGATTGCTACATCGATCCAGCAATTTCACGGAGACCGCCAATTTCCACGTGATCTTCGACCCTACTACCGTCGGTCAAATATTAATTAACTTTAAGCTACGAAGACCCGCGAGATTCGAGACTTGCGCGAGCAGAGGTCCTTCGGGAGTTGCCTTGAAAGTGTACTTAAACAGTTAGCGATCCAAACGTTTACGTGCGTCTAAGTTCCGTATAATATTGTCTAACAGAAGGAGTGTATGTTGATGTTTCCGTGAAAATAGTTATACTGGGTCATTTCGTCGCTTTTCATTCTTCCGTTTTCCCATTTTTCTTTTCTTCTTCCATTTTTTCCTTTTCCTTAATCGAATAATTTTTACGAAGCAACGATATCTTGAACGCTAAACAATTGAATTTTGATATAATAAATTGGTTATAAAATTAATTGTTTGATTCTTCTAGTATCTTACAGTCAATATTATCGTCTTCATAGATTTTCCAAGAAATACCTCGGATCCATATATTGATTTTCCATTTTTCATATAATTTTTTCTTCCGTTATTCATTATAAATTTTTATGTACGGGACGTCGTTTTCAACGTGAACTGCGCAGGAGGAGAACGTGATTGTACTGGATAAAAGAGGAACGAGGACAGATATATAGAGAGACAGATTTGTCTCAGGGGAGTCCGCAACATCAGAGACGCCATGAATCAGAGTAACCACGAATCGCGTTCCTTTGTTGGACTTCCGACCTTCTGAGATCACAGAAAACCACGTAGGAGGAGGATCTTGGTTAATCTTACTAATCTTCGGCGCTTGCCCCGACCTCGAACGACGAAACGGTAGAACGACCGGTTGAAAACCACGGTCTAACGATATTACAGATCCCCCAATCAGCGGAAGGAGCGGATAAAGGACGCTTTCATTGGGCCGTTTGAAACCGACCTAAAATCTTTTCAAGTTTGCCAAGACACCGAGGAAATCTCTAACAGTATCCACGTGCTCGTAATCGAGTATCTAATTATTCACAATGCACTATGATCCTTTTACCGAGGTATGACTTTAAAGCAGTATGATTTACAATACAATTTAAAAGAAGATTTCTTTCGCTTGTTAAAACTGTGATATATCAATTACTACCATAGTTGCAATTTATCCTTTAAAGTTTGAGGTTATGAACGACATCTAAATTTAAAATATAAACTGGAGAAAATTTGTTGACCGGCGAAAAGTGATACATTTAATAACATTGTACTTGTGAGTTATTTTCAATTAAAACACGACGTGAAAATCTGACGTGATGTTTAGTTATTATTAGTTCTTTTGTGGAAGTTTTTCATTGAAGAATTTATTTCCACCTGGTAGTAGATTGTTTACTTATATTTCTTTTTTAATTAACTTTAGGTTTACCTGAAAAATATTCAAGAAAGTGAATGATCAACGAAGAAGAGGAGCTCTGAAAAACATTTACATTAACAATTCCTGCATTACAGTTAATATTACTAAATGAATAAAAAATCTATCAAACAGCCAATCCATTTTTCGTATTAAAAATTCTCACGAAATAAATTCGTATGAGAATCATCGAAACAAGTAAGTTATTATTTTTATCTCGTAATATAGATCGCAATAGGTTATCAATATCGAATCACGACTTACCTGTGTATGGTACATTTTCCCTAGTTTATTGTCAGCTTACGATGATAGAATCGATCGTCGTAACACGAAGAAGCTTAAACTTGGTTTTTGCGTAGTTTTGAAGAATATCCATTGTAAATAAGATGGCTTTATCGACTCGTGGTTTCTGAAACATAGAACAGAATGAGAGAAGTGAGCTATTTTTGCAGTTCTCTACGAAGTTTCGGGGAATAATTTGAACTGTTCTCAAAGCTCGGTATAAATGCTTCGAATCTCTCCGAATTCCCTTAATGAAATTTAATCACGTATGGATGAATGTGTGTAATAGATGATAATTAAAAATCACTCGTTCGAATTATGAAAACTGATGGTGCAATTCCGACGTCTATGATAACACTTGATAAATTATTCATTTATCAATATGTAGTAAAGTTATTTATCGAAAACAAACATAGCTATATTTATTCTATATTTAAACTCATTTTCATCTCGACATAAGTATCATAACAGATATCAAAAATATTTTTATTCTTATCTCATTTATAGTTGATAAATATAAATTTAATTATTTTGATTTAGAAATTATTTTTATACCGTTATACGAACGTAAATGATATGTAATTACCATAAATTACAAAAGATTGTTTCACCTGCATATATTCGTAAATACAATGCAGTACATTTTCTTTCTGGACCCATATTGAATAACTAAAATGTTAAAATTTATCAACTATAATTTCGTCATAGATAGCTGATAAATATTCTTCTTCTTGTTTACAACGTGTCTTCACTTGCCCCTCACGATGATCATCTTTGTTAATAAACCATTAGTTCCTACGGAAGTAACATCTTGGATTATGGAATGACGCGAATATCGCAAATTTTCAAGTAAGAATAATACATCTCGTAATATTCGTTCAAAGTCTTAATGCTCTTATCTCACTTTCACGTATAACTGAATACGTAACATAGCTTTCATGCGATAAAAACATAAATTGTGCCAATAAAAAAATAAAAAAATAAAAACCTCAAACTCAATTACTATATTTTTTTAAACAACATAACTAAATTATATGAATAATTATTATAATACTTCGAAATAAATTTCGAAGAGAACGCATAAGACTTTGAATAACTGTGCAGGCATTGGAATGTGTGAAGTTTACAGTACGCTATCACGATATACCATATATGTCACAACCACTTGTAAACTGGTTGCTCATATTACATCTGTTCAGTCAACTAGTGTCAGTCCAACGGAAAATGCACGTTAATCATATCAATTTATAAATTTTAATTCATACGTTTCGTAATAGTGACATTTTACAGATATTTACCTGGCAAAAGTCGATACAAACATATAAGACGATAATTTATCTTGTGACCGTAGATTTTTCCACGCAATCATGTCGGATGCACGAGGAATTGTTTTATCTGGCACCGAATTGGCGAAGTAAGTAATAGTAATATAATACTTCAAACTATAAAATAACTACACTCAATTCACGCACAATTATCACGATTCAAATATATTAAAACTTTTAGAGCAAGTCTTTAATATCGATCACTGATTAATATTTGGAAGACATAAGAATCAAACTCAAAGCTTTTCAAACGGCAGTTACAATTCAAACTAATTTTTCAACTATTGAAAATCGCATAGAGGTCAATAGTGTTCCTTGCATCGATATAATTTCGCAAATTTAATTATGTAGAAGCCTATTTTCGTAACTTATAAAGCTTATTTATTTTTCTTTGCGAGGTTATGAATATTTCTCCAGACTAGATTATATAATTGTAACAAAATATTTGTGAATATAATTTTAAAATAAAATTACTTGTTCACTTAAAATATTAATTATATATTACTCGTTCAAAAATATCTCTGCATAAAAACCCGCCAAATTTAAACATTCGAAAGACGCATGCAATAATAACAGAAACGTACAAATTATATATAATTAATACATAATTATACAAAAAAATAAAAATTATACAAAAAAATAAAAATTATTCAAATAAATTAAACATTATTTAAATTCTTAATTTGACAAATATAGCACTTTATTTTCTTATAAATTTTATACTAATAATTTTAATTATATTTAATGTATTACTGAAAATATGCAATATAAACATCTTTTTTTACTCTTCAGGGAAATTCGCGAAAATTTAACAAAGAATGTAAAAGCACTGAAGGAAAAATTACCGAATTTTGTACCTGCTTTAGCGATCGTTCAAGTAGGAAGCCGAGAAGACTCAAATGTTTATATAAGAATGAAAATAAAAGCTGCAAACGATATTGGAATTACTGCGAATCACATTAAATTGCCAAATACTACAACAGAGATAGAATTAATAAACAAAGTGAACAAATTAAACAATGATCCAAATGTACACGGAATTATAGTTCAAATGCCACTTGATAGTGTCAATGAAATCAATTCCCATTTGATTACCGATTTAGTATCACCTGAAAAGGATGTGGATGGGTAAGTTTCAAAGTATCTTTTAATAAAGTACTTAATTCATATTTTAACTTTATTATTACGCTCACGACAAATTTGAAATATCGTTAAAAACGTTCAAATAAGAATATAATACTATAACTCAAGTCTAAATATATTTTTATAATAAATATTTTGCAACTAGTTATATACTGTTATTATAAACATATATTCGCTCGTAAAATTAATTAATGTATGCAGTGAAATTGCTAAAAATTAAATGACAAAATTATTAAGTAAGTTTGTTTAATTAGGTTACTTTTCAACGATTTATTATGAAATTGTACAACTCCAAAAATACTCGTTAAAATGGCATAACACATATAAACATTGAGATATGTTTTGAAAAGGACGACCTAATATCGTGACCTTTATTACAAAACGTCTCGAATTAGATGATAAGAATATAATCATTAAACGTTTAAAGTTTAATTCTCGCAAACTTAATAACAATTATTTTCCACTTATTTCATTAGAAAACCTCTCAGTAAACATAATATTGCTAAGAAATTTCGAGTCATTTATTTTTACATATGAATAATCATGAATGATCAACATAAGAAGATATTTGTTCTTATTTTAAAACACCAAATATTAAAACAGTTTTATTTTTTTTAGATTAAATACAATCAATGAAGGAAAAATAGCCACTGGAGACATGTCAGGATTTTTACCATCCACTCCAAATGGATGCATTGAACTTATTAAAAAGTACGTTTAAAAATAGCACAATTTTTTATATAAATAAATGTAACGATTGTAATTCAAATAATACTTCAGAAGCGGCGTACCGATTGCTGGGGCTGAAGCTGTAGTTTTGGGGAGAAGTAAAATCGTCGGCACACCTGTATCTGAACTGTTAAAATGGCATAACGCAACTGTAACGGTATGCCATTCAAAAACACAGAATCTTCCAGAAATTGTAAGTTCTGTTACAACTATATTTCTCACGCCATTTATAAAATATCAAAGAAATAATATAATAGTATACTACTAAAACTATACTGTATATACGTCAAATACTCAATGATGATTAAAGGTCTCTCATGCTGACATCTTAGTGGTTGCTATTGGACAACCCCACATGGTTAAAGGAAACTGGATCAAACCTGGTGCAGTTGTAATAGACTGTGGGATCAATTCCATTCCAGGCAAGTACAATTTCGCACATCATATATATTTATATAAAATATAATAAAACTTATCTTTGAACTCTAAACTCACAAACTTTATTTTAGCTTTTTCCACCTCAATGAAACTACAAAGAATATAAAATCATTAAATATTTATATAATAATTATTAATAATTGTATTATAATTCAAAAAATTCGTTTAGATTCTACAAAGAAAGCTGGACAACGTTTGGTAGGCGATGTCGATTATGAGGAAGCTGCAAAAATTGCCTCATATATTACACCTGTACCGGGAGGCGTTGGTCCAATGACCGTAGCTATGCTAATGAAAAACACAATAATATCTGCACAAAGAGCAGCAGAGAAAATGTTAAATAGAAAATGGAAAATAAGAGTTTTAGAAATCAATCCGCAGAAACCGGTACCCAATGACATAACAATTTCAAGGAGTCAAGAACCTAAACCAATTACAAAATTGGCCGAAGAAATTGGTTTGCTTCCTAATGAAGTCAGCCCATATGGAAGTACAAAAGCAAAGATTAGCTTGAATGTTTTAAAACGTTTAGAACATCAACCAAATGGAAAACTTATAGTGGTTGCCGGCATCACTCCAACGCCTTTTGGTGAAGGTAAAAGTACGACATCGTTAGGTTTGGTACAAGCGCTAACAGCGCATAGAGGAAAGAACTCATTTGTTACTTTACGACAACCTAGTCAGGGACCTACCTTTGGAGTAAAAGGTGGAGCTGCAGGTGGTGGATACTCGCAGGTATCGTTTGTTAAAATTACAAGAAAATGCAATAGTAACCAGAACAATTTAATGTTGTTCACATTAATTTTAGCATACAAATATTTAGTATATTTTTATAAAGTTTTATGTCATATTTAAGAAACATTGTACCAGGAAATATAAATATATAATTTTCAGGTCATTCCTATGGAAGAATTTAATTTACATTTAACTGGTGACATCCATGCTATAACTGCAGCTAATAATCTGTTAGCAGCACAAATTGATACTCGATATTTCCATGAATCTACACAAACCGATCAGGCTCTGTATGATCGTCTTGTACCAACTATTAAAAATGAAAGGAAATTTTCAAAAATACAATTGAGACGTTTAGAAAGATTAGGTATCACCAAGACGGACCCAAATAGTTTAACAGAAGAAGAAAGAAGAAAATTTGCAAGATTGGATATCGATCCCCAAAATATTAGTTGGACACGAGGTAGTATTAAATATAAATGGATAAAAATTTATAAAATAAAACTACTTTTTAAAAATGAAACATACTTATTTCAGTAATCGATATAAATGATCGATTTTTGCGCAAAATCACCATCGGTCAAAGTCCAACCGAGAAAGACAAAACGCGACAAACATCATTTCGCATTTCTGTTAGTTCGGAAATAATGGCGATACTTGCATTGTCTACTAGTGTTGATGACATGAAGGAAAGACTCAGCAACATAGTAGTCGCTTTCAATAAGAATGGAGAACCCTTAACTGCTGAAGATTTTGTTAGTATATTTATAATCTAAATTATATTGCCAATATTTTATCTTATTGTTAAATAGTAAAGTAAACGTATATTTAGGGTATGACTGGAGCTATGGCAATTTTATTAAAAGATGCAATTGAGCCAACACTTATGCAATCGTTAGAAGGAACGCCAGTAATGGTTCATGCTGGACCGTTCGCAAATATCGCGCATGGTTGTTCCTCCATAATAGCAGATGCAATTGCGTTGAAATTAGTTGGACCAGAAGGTATTGTAATAACCGAAGCTGGATTTGGTAGTGATATCGGTATGGAAAAATTCTTTGACATTAAATGTCGAACATCTGGTCATATACCAAACGCTGTTGTACTCGTTGCAACTGTTAGAGCATTAAAAATGCATGGTGGCGGACCCCCAGTAACAACTGGCGCACCATTGAAAAAAGAATATCTCGAGGAAAATCTTGATTTAGTTAGAAAAGGTCTCCCAAATCTTCAAAAACACATTAATAATGGAATCAAATTTGGCGTTCCAGTTATTGTTGCTATTAACGTTCACGCGTAAGTTTTATATAAAAGAAAAAGAATTTTGTATGTTAAATATGAAATCATAAAATTTGATTTCAGTACTGATAGTCAAGCTGAATTAGAATTGATAAAACAAACTGCAATCGAATGTGGTGCAACGGATGCAGTAGTATGTAACCACTGGGCAGAGGGTGGTGCTGGCGCTGCAGAGCTTGCAGATGCAGTTATAACAATTACAAATAAACTAAGTAATTTCAGAGTACTATATGATCTTAATATTGGTATTGAAGAAAAACTAAATATTATTGCTAAAGAAATGTACGGAGCTGGACAAGTTGTCTTTGCAGACAAGGTAAACTTTTAATAAATTTATAAAATATAATTTTCTTTGGCTTATAATTTGCATAATTAAATAATGAAATAATAATTGTTGATACAGGTGCAGGAAAAAATTGAAAAGTACAATAAATTGGGCTATGATAAATTACCAATTTGCATGGCAAAGACATCAAACTCCTTGACAGGTGATCCAGCAATTAAGGGGGCACCTATAGGTTTCACGCTGAATATTACTGATATATTCGTATCTAAAGGAGCGCGCTTTATAGTTCCTATGGTTGGAGAAGTAAGTACTTCAAATCATTGAGTTTTGTGACAAATACAACACAACATATTATATTATATTATATTATTTATATTATATATTTATAACTGTTTTTTAGATAATGATGATGCCAGGTCTTTCTACAAGACCAAACATTTATGACATGGACTGGAATAGTGAAACAAACGAAATAGAAGGTTTATTTTAAATAAACTTGTTAAACTTCTAATATTATAAATATTCTTGTGATTTATAGTACTATATTCTTTATACTTGAATTAGATAGTATTAATATTTTATAATAAATGTTTATAATAATTTTGATGAATTGTAACATTTTATTCTTTTTCCCACGTACATACATTATATAGCATATGTTAGCAAATATAATAAATATTATTTTGTATTAATCAAAGAAATAATAAGATAAATATTTATAGTTTTTATTTACAACATCAACTTTGAGAGAGACACTTTAAACTACTTTACTAATTACTCGTAATTTTGCAGAATGTGATCTTGGATTTTCCTTTATTTCCTTTGGTGTAGGTGTTACTACATGTTTATGTAACATTTTCCAAGGTGTTTGATTAATATTTTTCATCTCAGTCATAGTGTAACATTTACTATAATCTGAATACTTTAATGGCTGAATATTAGCTACATTTTCGGTTATATTTCCAGTCATATGTCTTTTTACAATTGTATCTTCCAAGGAATGAAAAGATATTGTTACTAAACGTCCATTAGTTTTTAAATATAATCCAGCAATGATAATACCATGATTGATTTCGTTTAATTCATTATTTACAAAAATTCTTAATGCTTGAAATGTTTTTGTTGCACAATGAGCTCGTCTACCAAGCTGATCAAATCTTTTTTCATGGATTACAGATTCAACAAGTTGAGCCAATTCATCTGTAGTTTTCAAGCTTCTAAAAGTATTTCGAGCTTCTATAATGGCACATGCAATTTTTTTAGCATACTTCTCATTGCCATAAATTCTTAAAATATGGACTAAGTCTATTTCTGTTATTTGTTCTAAAATTTCAGCAGCTGTAGGTTCTGATGGACACCTAAATCCATCCATTCTCATGTCCAAAGGTCCATTTTTTGAGAAAGAAAATCCTCTTTCAGCAATATCAAGTTGCATAGATGAACAACCAAAATCAAATAAAAACCCATCTATACTATTTACATTCACTTTATATTTACAAAGCAATTTTGGCAATTCAGAAAATCTTCCTAATAGAGGTATTACTTGTCCGGGATATTTTTCTGATAATTTTAGTGCATGTTGATAAGCAACGGGATCTCTATCCAAAGCAAATATTTTTATATTAGATGAAGATTTCAAAAGTTTTGTTGAGTGTCCACCAGCTCCAAATGTCATATCTACAAAAATTTTTCCTGGTGATGGCTCCAAATAATGTAATACTTTATTGACCATAACTGGCTTATGATCCTCATTAAGTGGTATATTTTTATCAGTATCAATTGCATTTGCTATTTCACTGTATTTTCTAGTATTCCTTGAATATATTTTATCATTTTGTGTATAAAATAAATAGTATACAGATTTATTAAGGTATTTTATGCCACAATGTTTATGTACATGAATTATGTTACTTATCAGCTTCTTTGTCAACAACATTTTTGAATAGTCTTGTAATTGTCCGTAATAAATATCCTTGTTTATCTTCTGCCAAAGTTTGTAATGCTTCTGGTGAAAGCATTAAATTACATTGATCTTTAGTTAATCCAGTAGCAGTACTTGTAAGAGTACGAGTATATATTTGTCCATAATGATTAGAACAAATTCTCTTTAGACATATATAATAACGGTCACATTGATCACGATTTACTTCGCTAGCTTCACCTTTTGCAAATGCAAGTTTTAATTGATCACGAATATGTTGACCTAAATCTCTAAAATACAAATAAATTTTAATTGTATTTCATAACAACTACAATTACCATAATATAAATACTAAATCAATAGTAAATAAAATATATAAACAATTTCATATAGCATTTAAACTTTTAAACATATAACTAATATAATAAAGCTAACCTCAAAATAAATAACAAAAGACATATTAACGCAATTACATTTGTACTTATGATGTAAATATCAAGAAAATATGAAGAAAAATTAAACTGTTTTATTTCTTTAAATAAAATTACCTGCCAGGTTTTGAATTATCCAAGGGCCAAGATTCTAATAATTTCATATAGTTCCTATACGTACCCATAGTAATGGTGTAATAAAATACCAATCTACAAACAATTAATCACTATTTAATAGTATTATAATTTCTGTATAAAATTTATTTACTGATTTATTGCTTTGCCATATATTCATATTAAGCTTATTCGCGAAATACGGGACAGGTCTACTATATAGATATAGTACAGGATAATTTTATTATAAATATAGACCTTAGTGTGATAATGCAGTGCTCAGAAAACTATAACTCAAAATCAATTATTAGCGAAAAAGTAATTAAATACAAAATATAATCTCATAGAAAGTTACGTAAATTATGCGTATCATTTTTTATAAATTTAAATTAAATATAAATGTTACATTAATTTGCTTTAATGTTTTATATATAATTACTAAAATTTAGGTTAGGGATTCAAAATAAAAATGTTTAAACTCTGCATATAAATTACTTTAATACAATTTTCTACAAGCACATGTCTCACATTTTAATGCAAAATACCTATAACATCACTAATGTCTAAGATCACTTGTGATACATAAATGTATAATTCATTTCAAATCATTAAATCCAGTTGAAATCCAAATATCTTGTTATTCATTTTGAAGACTTGTATCTTTATGTCTGTTTCTCTGCAATTATGAACAATATTAATAATTATAATAATGATTTTTATTATAATACGACTTAAAAATTAATTATTACTACCTACATAATTGGAAAGTCGCTGTCTATTTTTTGATAACAGATCTTCATTTATATTTTTTGTTTCACTTAAAAAATATGATACATTATCTTGTGATTTTAAGTTTGTGGCATTTTGTTGCACATCATCAGAGAACAAAACTGCTTGTTCTTTTTCGTGTGGAGCTAGAGTTACTACATTGGTTGAAATATCAACAGTTTTGTCTCCTCTCCAGACTTCAAGTAATGTTTCAGAATTATAAAATGGATATAAGGTATAAACAAGTGACCATGGACGCTGATTAGAATTTTCATAAGCATTAGTTTGACTGACTACTTGACATACACAAACTATTAAACTGAATATTGCCTATATAAAATATATTTTTATAAATAATAAATTAATACAAACATAAATTATAATGTAAATTAATAAAAATTATAACTTACAATCAATGGGAAATGCATCTTGCTAATGTTTTCCAATACTAACTGCTGCCTCTTAGAATCTGTCTGACTTCGTAAACTCTACCACTTTAAATACTCAGTGAGAATTTACATTGATAGATTATGTGTATTAAATTTCAAGGTCTAAATGCCTAACATCTTAGGATTATATTTTTAACATTTATTTAATGCCAACTTTGAGGTCATTACATAAAAAATATATATTATGAATATAATAATTACAAATACAGGAATTTATAAATATTCTTTTATTGATTAGTATACACATTAAACCAATATATAAATAAAAATTATTTCAAAAGCTTTATCTTTCAACTGTCTCTACAGGTATTACATTGCAACCCAGAAGACCATTACCAATCCAAGGACGTGGAATTAAAGTCAAGACTATGATATTAGATCCACGTTTAATTTTTACATTTACTGTCTTATATCTGCTATTTTGTACCAATGTTCCAATATCTTTTAAGGATTTAAAATTCCGACAATCAATAGAACCAAACTCTAAGATTAGATCATCAGCTTGAATTCCCTGTATAATTTAACACTTAATGAATCATAAGTTTATAAACATTATGAAAATTCAAAATAAATTTCTTACAGCTATTTCTGCTGGAGAACCTGGGGATACTAAATTTACTTTCAAAAAGGGATCCAACTGGACAGTATCCGGAACAATAGTTATATTTGTAGTAGAACTTTCTGCTTGATTTCCTGCAAGAGCATGTACCTTGTGCAAACCCTCTTCTATTTTATTCATCAATGCTTTATGATCATTTCTGAGACCTAATTACTTAACAATGTACTAATAAGTTCGAGTTTAGTAAAATTTCATGCGAGAAAATTGCGTAGTAATTAGACGCACATATAATTTTCTGTCTCACATGTCTCACTTGATAAACATCAATATCATTTCGTGGATATCCTTCGCAGTCCACCAATGGATCATCCATGCCAACATGATTCTACAATTCACGTAAACATTCAATCATTTATAGAAAATTTGACAGTTGATTCTATTATGAAATAGATTATATTTATTTTTGATAACATGATTAAACAGACGCTCTATACAAATTTAAGATATATTAATACACATACTACATCTAAGACTTCTTTTAAAGCCTTTAAATCTGACTCAATTTTATCTTTATCTTTCATAAGCTGAAGAACATAATCCTTAGCTTCCTGTAATTCCATGTCGACCACCATTTTCACTAGACTGACGTACGTCGTAATCATCAGGTATGTATTAATGAATAATGCAAAAAGTTGTTTTCGAAAAAAATTTAATTTTTGATAATATTATGTCATATATTTTAATGCAATTGACATATTTTTACATGTATTTTTATATAATATTTCATAAATATTTTATAAATTTTATACATACAAATGTGCGTGAATTTAAGACATTTGCAATTTTAAAAACAAAGCTTTTAAATATCGCGCTTCATAAACAACCGTTTGCTTGCCTTCTGGAGCAATAGAAAGCATATCTTGCACATCAAAAGGTTGTTCTACTACTGTTATGACGTCCCTTCCGTAAACTAAATTAAAAAAAATGATAAAATATTTCAAATAGTGTAAAAATGTTATCGTACATAAAAACGGAAAATACCTTCACAGTGTTCTAAAAATTGTATACATTCCTGGAGAGCAGTATCTTTTAAAATCACTAATTGTTTAGCTAATTGTTCTAAAAGAGAGAGAAAACATCTCTTCGCATAAAACCATGTATCTGTTCCTAACTTTTTATTATAGGGTTCCAAACTTTTCATTACTCTAGATATACCAAATTCGTAATTTCCTTTAGAACAATATAATGTTCCAATTACTAAATTTACAATACATAAATGAAATAATTTTTTATCTTGATCTTCTCGTGAAACTACTTGCTCTTCTTTTTCTATTTTTTTCATTAATCCTTCAGCCTCCGCATTTTGAGTCATCATAATATAACTTACACATAAATTAGCAAGTACTATAGCACTTACATCTAAAATCTGAAATTTTAATAATATTTAATAATTAACATGTTAATATATAAATCGCACTACAAAAGATTAAGGATGAAATAACTAACATTATCATATTTCTTTCGAACAATTGGCTCGTAAAATCCTGTTGCTTCTTTAAACTTATTTTCTTGCATAAAAAGCGTATGAGCTACATTTAATTTCCATATATCATGTTCATTGCAGAATTCTACGCTTTTTCTAAAAATTTTCTCGACTTGCGTATAATTTCCAAGTTCCCAATAAATTTTAGCCTGTGCCATTAAAACTGGTACATATCTTTCCAAAGCTTCTTCGTAATCATTTACAGCTTTTTTAACAGCACTATCATCGTGATTCAATCGTGCTTCCTGAACTCGTTTTGTTGCTTTTCGTAATATTTCCATATGCTTGTTACCAAGATCATCAAATTTTCGATAAGCTTCTTCTGGTGAAGTTTGTTGTGTAATTAATGCATCCAGAAAATCATATAAATACTAAGACAAAAATATTATTCTCATTATAATAAAATTCTTAATATTATTCATCTTTATTGAATGAAAATATATAAATTTTCATTTTTCACCATCTGCACCCCAAAATTAATTTACTTGTTACAGTCCTGCATTCAGCGTTGCATTTATACCTAACCTTCAAATTAGGTTTAATTGACATTTGCTTGTGCCGTTATTTTTTGTATGAACACGTTATCATATAAATTATAAGAAAATATTCTTCTTAAATTTTATGAAAATGGCTAATTGTAAATTAAATCAAATATTTCTTGGAGAAGTTGCCTCTGTACAAAATTACGGTGCTTTTATCAGAATTCCGGGTTGTTCTGCTCAAGGATTAATACACAGATCACAGGTATTCGGAAATATTATAAATTATAATAAAAGTTATAATAAATTATTTATTTTTGTTCTACAACGCAAATAGTTTATATTGTAATTTTTATTTTTATAATTTTGCTAGGTAAGCTCTGTTCATGTCGATAATGTTGTAGAAGTTTTGCAAAAAGGCGAACGTATATGGTGCAAAGTTATATCAATTGGAGATGATGGCAAAATAGGACTATCTATGAAGTATGTAAATCAGGGAAATGGTACAGATTTAGATCCAAATGGAGTACAGTTACAAAGAGATTTACAGAAGAAAAAAACTATAGAAAAACATGAACGCAAAACTATACATTTAGAAGCAGTTTTTAATACTACATGTACAAAGTGTGGAACTGTTGGTCATTTGTCCAAAGATTGTTTTATGAGTCCTGATGGGAAAAAGTATGAGTTGATTCCAGAAATTGAAGATGAAAAAGAAATTATTATTGAAACACAAACTGACATAACTAAGAAAGAAAAAAAACACAAGCAAAAAAAATTAAAAAAGAAGAAGAAAGCCAGAAAAATGAAACGAGATACAGATGATGGTGATTCTGATGATAAAAATGTAATTAAGAAGAAAAAGAAAAAGTATTCTAAAGATCAAAAAAAAAAGAAGAAAAAATATGATAGCTCTTCTAGCGATAAAAGTTCTAGTGATAGTTTTTCTAGTCATGACATGAAAGCTCATAAACGAAAACATTCAGAAAGTTCAGAAAAACGTACCAAAAAATGTAAACATTCAAAAACTAAATATGCTGATGATTGAAAAGTATATAAACTTTGGAATATAAAATTAATTTTGATGTTAATTTTAAGTCATTAAAATATTTCTAATGAATAACTTGTGAAAAGTATATTCACAGTGTATGTAATAACATATAATAAAACTCATACTTACTGGTGTTAAATACTTATAAGTCAAGTGTACATTTTCAGCAAGAACATCAGCTGCTAGATCATAATATTGGTATTTGCAATACAATAATAATAAATTTGCAAAAGTTTCAGGTGGGAATGGGTTTTGTTGTAACAAGAACTGAAGTTTTTCAAATCCCTCACTTGGCTTTGTATCCATGTTTATTAAAGCTTGATTATGCAAAGTAACAGCATCGAGTTCTTCCTCAGATCTAGGGGGCATATCTGTCAATGCTTCTTTTGCTGATTCATCTGAAAAATTACAAATGAAAAGTATAAAATACTAGATAAATAATGGGAAATTAAATTTACAATAAGTAATTACAATTTTGTAACTGATATTCTATAGCTGCTTTTAAGTTAAATGCTTCTGTTAAAGCTGTTTCATGAAGTGTCAATGTATTTCCAACACTGCGTATTTCTATACCTTCTGTTGTCATACCCACACCTAATTCTGGATGTTCCCTTATTCCTTGCTCAATAATATCAGCTAACATAATATATTAATATAAAATATTATTTTAAATTAATTTAACTTATAAAATTTAATAATCAAGTATAGATTTTACCAATATGTTTCAATGATGCTGCATATTCTTTTAATTTAAAGTAACAAAGTGCTACATTATATGATAAATGAGGCTTGAAACCTATAATTTGTAATGCATTTGCAAATCTTTTTAAAGCTTGTTCATATTGCTCTTCCTAAAAATAAAAATAGCATAAATTAAATATTCTATTCATAAGACAAATTTTATATTTCTCTGAGACTTTTCATACTTTATATAGGAGACATCCTAAATTAATTTCTGTATCTACATCATCCATTGGACATTGATCTACAAGATTTTTTGCAGCAACAATATCTTCTTGTCCATATTTTATAGCTGCTTGTAGTTTTTTTACCTTGTATTCTAAGCTACTTTGATTAATGATATTGGAACATATTGTCCAAGCCTCTTGATACATACATGCTTGATGTAAAGATTGAGCATGATATAATTTGTATATACTTTCATTAGGACATAATTGAACTAATTTTTCATAACATTGAGCAGAAGCTATAAAATCTTGTGTATAAAAATAACAATGAGCAAGAAGAGACAGGCAAGGTCTGGACTGTAAAATAATTTATTATCATACAACTATCTATTAATAAAGGGATTAATATTTCAATATAAACATACATACAATGGGGTAAAAATCTAAAAGTGTAATTAAAACTTTTATCGTTTCCGTATATCGTTGTTCTTTAATCTAAAAAATTAAGTTTTGTATTATGTATCTTTAACATTAAAAAAGTTATTTTAATATATATCATTTAATTTTAATATCTACGTGCTGATATAATATTAATACTTATTATTAAATAAATGCTTAAATAAATTATTTTAAACATTAAATAATAAAATATTAGAATTTGCGTCAAATATTCTACCATTGAATAAATAGTTTTTGTGTATTCTCCATCTTTAATATGCACATTAGGTATAAATGTAGTCATTTTTTTAAAATAATTTTTTATTCACAAAACTATGGTGTGCACAACAAGGCTTTAGTTACTTAACTATATAATGCATACAGTATGTAATGTTATGACATCAGAGGAATATCGTAACTATGGAAACAATTACTTATTTCATGAAGGGACATAAAACTTTATTCATTTGTTAATACATATTTTAAAAACCAAAGTATACGGAATGTTGCATTATTTGTAACATAATGTTTTTAAAATAAATTTTATACAAAATAAGAATTTACAGAACGTTGCCGTTTCAAAAATATTTTATTACATTTTGTACGTATATTAGATTCATACCATAATATGCTTATTTGTATTAGAAAAATGTGTCGAATTAACAAATATTTTTTTTTACATGTAGTTACAACCTAGTATAAAATTATATTACTATCTTTTCATTTGCATTTCATTCAGTTTACTTTCTACACTGGATAATAAACTTTTGTTATTTATCTTAATGTGTATTACTTTAAAAAGTTTAGAAACTAAATACATGATAGATTGTGTTTTTTAAATTGCAAAATATAATGAATCATATTCTTCATTGCAAAAACATGGCTATAAAGTGGCGCTCTCTTAAGGACGATGAACAGTTAAGATAGTAAATGCATACCTAACTTTTAAATGAATTTTCAAAGAAAGAACTCGATGCAGTACGATCTAATATGTCGATGCACGAGTATACATATGCATGATTACACATACGCATAGTAAGACTAACGGACGTTAAGCATCAGTGTTTTGATCGTCGTTTCACCAATAGGTGTTTTGCAGATCCGATAACATATATGTAGTATGTAAACCAAAGACGATCGTACGTATAAGCACTGCGGAGTCTCGACAGCGCTAGTACCGTACGCAGATCGAGTGCGTGTGTGACTTCTCTCGTTGGAGAAATGTCGTCGGCACTCGTGGCCGCTAAATAAACGACGAAACATGTCCGGACCGATAGTCAGTCGTGCGCAGACACCCGGCGGTGATGTTCAAATAGGTACAACGGTGGGCTGTGTTGTCTGTAATAGGACTGACAAGCTGTTAAGGTGTTCACGGTGCAAGGCCGTCTTTTATTGCACCAAAGAACACCAGAGGCGGGATTGGAAACGTCACAAAGAATTTTGTGCGACTCATTCCGTGGAATCAATAGTACCAGACACAGTTTCGACTACTAGTCAAAATTCCATTGTGAAGTCTGCTAAGAAGGATTCCTCCCTAAGGAACTGCCAGATTTCAACTGCGCCAGTGGTTTCTAACCTAAGCCAGAAGTCAGTGTTGGAAAGAACGCGAGGATCGAACGCTACTCCAGAAGTGCATAATAACGCGAAAGATCTTGAAGGTACGTGAAACTTGATCTTACTTTTGTTGTAAGTTTTATAAAACTATTTGATGATATACGTATATGATTGTAAACATTTAACCATGAACGAATTCCTGAATTCCTTTAAAAAAATCATTAAATAATAAGCTTTTTATTAATTAACAGTGTGTTCCAAATCGTGGATTGTATGGTTTTTTGTAAAACGAATATTGCTCCTTTATTTTATTTATTTTGATTAAAGATTGTTGTATGATTCTACTGTTTATAGGAATCAATAAACAAACAGAAAAAATAAAAGGACAATCAGGTCACAAAGAAAGCCAAAATTCCAAGCGGAAGTCTAGTAACATTAAGACGAAGGGTACACGCACTAACAGAGTGGATGGATGGACTTCTCCAATAACTTATGAAGGAAGCTCTGAAGATACAATTTTAGGTGCTAGAACAGAATCGTTGAATCCTGCCCTCGAAGGCTCAAGAATCCTAGATAACCTACAAGACAATGAATTAGATATGCCTACTCAACATCATAACGGTATGAAAAACTTCCCAGAGGTTCGTTTAACTCGTGAAGAAGAATTTCTGCCACCTTTTCTCCATAACAATGAAAATAATCTTGAAGAATTAATAGATGATATAAGCAGAAATGTGATTAGAGACATGGATGAATATGGTATGTGTGTGGTAGACAATTTTCTAGGAACAGGAAAAGGTCTTGCAGTGTTAAATGAAGTTTTAAATATGTACACTGCTGGGTTATTTAAGGATGGACAATTGGTTTCTAATAAAGCAGGTGCAAATGATTTAAAGACAATTCGTGGTGATCAAATAACGTGGCTTGATGGAAAAGAAAGACAATGTCAGAATATTGGGATGCTCATATCTCGAGTTGATGCCGTCATTATGAGGGCAAACAAAATGTATAACAATGGAAAATTGGGAAACTATACAATCAATGGGAGAACAAAGGTAAGCATAAATATATTATCATTAGTTATCTGTTAGTTACAATATCTAATTATATTTAGATATTTTTATATTACAAATTTTATATAATATGATTTATTTTAATTATTATTATATATGACAAATAGATGTTAGCATCACATTTATTTCCATATAATTCAATTTATGTTTTGTGTTAAATAATCTGATTTTGCCAAAGTTTATGTTTACACTAATTATGTGATAAACAGATATTCAGGGGTTCATTAGTAAGATATTCATTAATATCTTAGTCGATATACTAATGTTTATTAATAAGACTTATAAACATATGAATACATTTTTTTAAGTTTATACATATTAAAGTTTATATTATCGACAGTTTTGACAGACATTTGTTTACTTTTAAGTACAAAACAATATTAATTATGTAATAAATTAATTCTAAAAGTATTGAAAAAAATTTTATTTTTTTATCCGTTTAAGGTAATCAATTTATTTAATATTTCACGATTATGCGTAGAACATTAATTTGAACGCATAATTGAAAAGCTATTAATTTGAAATAAACTTTGGCAATAAAATTGTTCTTTCTTACAACTCGCGATGTCAAATATCAGATGTAGAATTAGATCATCAAATTCAAATGAGCAAAAATGAGTTAAATTTTGTATTGGATTAATCAAAGTGCAATCATGTATACTGTTTTCTAATTTATTTACATTTTTTACTTCATACTATGATTTATATAATTAAGAAACATAGTGTTTCTTGTTAAAAAACATTTTATTTATTATCGTAGAAAATACATAGCATTAATCGTAAATATAAGAGAGAAAAAATTACAGTTTTTAAGTATTTGCATATTTACTTAACCGAATTTTTAAATTATGAGGTATCAGTAAATTGAAAGTGTTTGTTAATTTGAAATAACTGTCAAATCAAATTTTAATTGTAATTCATATCGTTACGAGAAACCAGTTATAAAAGGTAATTTCTTGAATGCCATAAGAATAATATGAATACGAATTATCTATAATATTGACTGGAAAAACAATTTCTCGTTTTGTACTATGCCTGTAACAATCGAATTAGTGACTAAGATGCAAGCATGCCACGTTTCCTGATTTGTTATAAAATTCCGATGAACAATATCGGCGACGCGCGTTCGCTTTATCGGTGAAAAAGCAGATCTCTTGCGTCCCTCCGAACATTGGTGTTTAATCTCGTAGGCGGTCAAAAGAGAGAGGGAAAAAGCGATGGTAGGCAGAGAAGGTCAGGATCCCGAAATTGCAACGATCTTTCGTGTAGCTCAGGCGTCAAACTGAGAACAGAAACGAGAGTGGCAACCCACGAAGTGCAGTCGGTCACGTACGCCGTACGGTTGACTCGCTCTTAGTTATCTCTTTCTCCTTGTCTTTCACTAACTCTCCCTTTCGTCTCTTATGCCAGAAAGTAGGCAGCGTGTACTTAAGTGTTTGTCTCTTCTAAACAGAATTTAAATTGCGTGCGGATGAGTGAAAAGGGACAGTGTTAGAGAAGCTTAAAGTATCAATGGTTACAAGTAAAAAGTGCAGGTTTTAAAATTACCTTATTTGTCTGATACTACGTTCTATTCAAATGTTTAATAACGTGTACACTCGATTATTTGAAGGAATTTGTTCGTATAAAATTTGCTTGGTTTACGAAGAAATAAAACGATAGAATTGAGTTTTCTTGTGATTGTTAAATATAAAGATTTTAAGGTTATCTCAGCTTGTTTCCTCGTCTAGTAAAATTAAGGAATTTAGTGAATTAATTTTTTAGCACGTGCTAAAATAAATTTATTGGATTGACTTGACACACACTTCTGTGTAACTCTTTAAAGATATTACTACAAATATCGACGATGCATTTGCCATTGTTTTCTCAGCACGTGACAGTGGTTCTCATTTCTCTTCACTGATCTTCCATAACGTACAGATGTTTTGCATATCATGAGTATCACTGTTTTAAGTTAGTTAATTATTAATATTTATATATCATATTTCGTAATAGATTACTGGAAATTATATTACTATTAATTTCATTGTATTTGATATTAGAATCTATTGATGCAATATAAATATTTATATATGTTAACATGAAATAGGAAGAATATAGAAAGGGAGCAATAAAAAATGAACGTGTTTTTGAACTTATAATTAAAGATTTGAACAAAAGTTTAAACACGCCATTGCGTTTAATTCCAGACTAAACAACATTTTCGTCTGTTCAATAATCGAAGACACAACTGAACGTATATTTTTAAACCAAACATATCGCGCGGTTCTGTCACTGTTTCCATTTATAGCTCGCGAGGAAATATTCGGTACACATCAAATTTTTTTATTGTATCGCGCCAAATCTGCTATCTAATTGGAACAGCTAATTAACATCGTATTCGTGCAACGACCTTTTATTAAAAATTTCTTTCTTTTTCTCTTCTGCTATGTAACATTGAAAAGGGTGTGTTCTTCTTTATCGACTCAGTACGTTACTTTAGTAGAGCTAAAACTTTCTGAAATTGATAAAACAGAATAGAAAAATGAATCAGGCGAGAATAATTAAAATATTCAGTAATTTGTTAAATCGTATTCCTTTTATAGTTTGGAACAAAATATTTGATATTTCAAATTCTTGGTTACCTGCTGAATTATTGTCGTGTAACTGGTATTTAAGTATTTTTCGTTCGCACGTCGAATGAAATACGAAAGAGGAAAACGACGACGATGGTTAAGTGTATTCTTAAAACAAATCCACTCATGATGTATTCTGACTCACTGATGATAAATGTACAATATTGAAATACGTGGGTTCAACGTGAAATTACATTTTTTCGAGTATACTGTAGACAGCTGTTACCAATATTGTACTCGTATAACGAAAAAGTTGAGCATTTCATCTTAAGAGGAATTTCATCGTTAGATAATTATGTGTGGTTAAAATTACGCTACGTTGCGTAATGAAATTTAGAATCGATACGGCTTTAATGTTGATTTTCGAACTTCGTCTCTCTACCCTGAAAGATTAGGTTTATAAGAATATTTCTATTTCTTTAGAGTACGATAAAATAATATATTTCAAAATATTTTTACTGTGGCATTTCTAATGACACGTTGTTGAATATAATTAACTTTTTAAATTTTACATGAAATGCAGAAATAACGTGTGATTATATATAAATATGTTGTATGCATTAATATTTCAATCGTTCAGTTCAACTACTTTCTAAGTAGTTTGCAGTAGATTAAATACATTTATTTTCTTGTATATAATTGCATTTAGTAAAAATTAAAATCTTTCATTCTGTATTTTCTTAGATTACGCAGCAATTAACTTTGCTATATAGGGTGACCTACTTAAGAATGCAACACTTAATTACAGACTTTTGTTCGGTACGATGTATATCTAAAAGATTGCATATTATAAAAGAAGAGAGGAATACTTTCCTAGAAATGAGAAATTCCACAATCAAAATTTTAAATATATAAATATGAATAAATACAACAATTACTGCTATTTATTTTAGGATAATATCAAGCTTACGAATTATGTATGTATTTGTGATTAACGTTTTCGCATTAGGCCGTTCACTTTTGATTAAATCCTTACAAATGGCTGGCTGCATCTCACTCGTTAACCTTCGTGAAGGTGAAAGAATCGATGAGATACAACATACACATATACATATGCATTTGCGTATATAGTTAGATGGTTGAGAGCGTGCCAATCGTGCTGCGGACGATTTCATTTGGTTCTGTAACGTTTCCACGAGGGTATTTACCGCTGCTTGTTGACTTTGTGATCGGTTCGACACATCTTCCGCGTGGTTTGTAATTGTAATGGCCGTATCAAAATGCCGTACGGTATTTTCTTTTGCATTTCAAAATTTTATTTCTCGCCACACGGTTTTGCTAGGGATTTTCGCGCTAAGGAATTTATGCGTGGCTGGCACGAGTATTCATAAAAACCAAACATGCAAATATTTAAATGTATTCGATAGTTAGTGTATTTTTAATTAGTTACTTAATTAAAATTGACAGCTTACAATTTTTCTTACCGTCAATGTTAATTAGAGAGCTATTTGTATTTTTGGTTACTAAAATTTGTTAAGATAGAGAGATCATATTGATTACAAGTTTATCAGAGGTATCAAATTTCAATAAAGAAATAAGCATTCTTAGTGATAATAAAGTTACTACGTGAATACATTTAGTTATCTTTTTCGTAGATTTATATCATAGTCATTTACTCAGATATTGCTTATATTACAACAGATACTAGATTTTGTTTCACAAAACAAATTGAATTCATTTATAAAATTGTACATATACAATAATATAAAATTAGAATTTTCAAAATCAACAAAGTTCTGAACGCTAAATTTAAGAACCTATTCGATTGGTCTACCGATCGATATCGTTTTTTTTTTTTAAATTCGTATTTTAAATTGAATCGTTATTCTTTTTTGTACAAGCAATTCCTTTAGATTCGTGCAAAGTAAAACTTAAATTTTATTCCTGCATTCTTATGAAATATAATGTTTTTAGTCGTTACTGTTTTATCTTTTAGGAAGTTTTTAATCTTTATGTTAGAAGTTCCGACATTACATCGTAATTGGCGCGCATTTGTGTTTCGTGCTATATTACATACAATCGTGATATACGTTCGGAAAATAAGGAAAATTTACACTTCGTGGAAAGAGAATTTTGATCGTTACGAAAGATAATACGTGCAGCTACTAAAAACAGTATAGCAGCGGGAAATACAATTGCCTGGTAAAATCTAATACGCTGAAGCGCAAATTTTTTGTGATTTATGACATGAGAAGTACGCACACGCGTACAGGAACGTACACAGCTATGGTCGAGGTAAATTTAGTATAGATAACAGTACAGTTTTCCTCATTCAACGTGCGATGTGACTTGAACTGTTCGCACAAGGAATTTTTACATGCGTTTCGTATCTTTTTCGGTAACGTAATTGTGAGGTTATGTTCGGCGATGAATTTTCAGGACTATCGAGTCACATAGAATTACTTACAGGCAAAACGAGCTACGAGTGTCTAATATACGACAATCGTACGGTTTCAATCGGTGACTCATGCTGGCAGATATATTTTCCGGATTCGAAGTGTAACAAACGCGTGTTTTGCTAGCGGTTCTATGAAACACGTGCAATAACATTAGCAGTATGGTTTTCCCCTGAAAACATCGCGTAATACTTGCTGTTTCGTTAAGGCGAACAATATACCAATGTTTCTACCCCCTCTCCTTCCGTACCATCACATTGGTTGTCGTTGGTCAATTGCATCGCACGTGAAGTTTCGTTGCCTTGTTAACTACTATAACGTCCGTTCCGATGAAATGAAGTTTGAAATAATTCTTGGACGTTATTCAAATACTAAAAATTCGATTATGACGTGAATTTACATATATTGCGAGTAATATACATTTAGAATTAAATTATTTGAGCCTTTATCTCTTACAGTGAATTTAAACACACGGAAGTTAAGCTGGTCGACTAAATTTAAAAAGAAATTATTAATTTTTATTTTTTAATTGTACAGTAATATGAAATATAATAGGATATAAGCAATATAATACCCTAAATATCTATACTATCTTTAGAGATACGGGAGAGCTTTATATATACAAATTTTGTTGTAAGGGTTGTCTGTAACATGTAAACTTTTCATAAGTGGAGGGCATCCAGAGATTTCAAGATCACCTTCATCTTTTCTAATGACATGCTATATTTTTCTATTTTAAAATATTATATTGATCAATAAGTAGACAAATTTTTGCAGCAGTTATAATATTATAAACAAAAATGATCAATATATTATGTTACAAAAGACTTTTGGTATTAAACAAAAGGATTACCATTTTATACTAAACTATCAACATTATCCTTTTGCGTTTAATTCAAAGTTATTAATTTAATAGTTAGACGATTTTAATAACCTCCAGTACAAGGTACGCCGTAGACGTAATTCATATTTATTTTTGAAATGGAACGTTGTACTCGTACACGTGTTTATATTTCAAATTGTAATATGTATGATTCAAAAATAATACACAATACACCTTTGCTTATTTTCAAGCAAACAATTTTCGAGTCGTCAGTGATGAATATTCACATTATTTTTATAAAATTGTACTCGGGTCTTTACATAGTAAAATCATACACGATTAACGCTGGAACTACCAACCGATGATGTATGCTTAAATATTCTATAGATAAACAATAATAATCAAAGTGGTATGGAGAAGATAATTAGGTACGTGAACGTATCTACGGTTTAGTAGTTCTAATATTAATGAAGTGAAAACAGTACAATATTTTTCGACATATAAAACTATTGCGTTACAAGATAGTTAAATCTGAGAGAAGACGCTTTAAATGACTAATCAACATGAAACATAAACTACATCATTCATAATCCTGCTTTGGCAGATTTATTTGGTACCGATCGATCATTTATTCTTCGGCAATTCAGTCCTGCCATTTTGTCCTCCTTTGATGCGCAATTTATAGTTATAAGTTTGAGAAAACTATCCATACAATTCCAATGCATTTACTAACCAGTAAATTATTTATACCATACGCAGTTCCTCGAGGCTTCCTACAAGAGATTTTTTAAGATTATTCTAAAATTAGAAGTGAGTTTGATATTCAAAAAATATGTATAAAAATTATCTCTGATCTTAATACATTCACCTTTACACATAGAGAGAGAATGAAAGAGAGAGAGAGAGGGGGGGAATATTAGAGATTTCCAACATAAGCTTGCGTTGCTATGAGAATGGTCCAAAGTAATTTATACGATATTACGGAAATGGTTAAATATATCCAAACATAATCAATAATATTCTACGTAAGATACCGTGTTACGTGTAAATGACTGGAAGCGAACAATTTATCTCAATTGGGTGGGATTGAAATGGGTGGAAGTAATCAGATAATCTGACTCAAACCTGATCATACACTTCTTTCAAATTACTCAAATATGATTATTAAAATTCAAAACAATTTATTCTACTACTTTTACTATTACCTTTATTTTTCTGGTACTTTGGCTCCTGTTAATTTTTTACGAAGGAGGGAAAAGACCCAAAAAGCAAACAGAAAAGAATGAATGAGTCTGGAGTCTGACACCTGAAGCAAAGCGAAACGTTTAAATCAACATTCCAAACGTACAAAGATTCAGCCATGTTTATCTTGCGTTTTACACATAAAGAGTACTAACCCAGTCGGCAAAAAGTAAAACGAAATATTTCAGAGTCTAAAGAAGAAACGGATTTCTCTAACAGAAGTCCATCAGACTCTCCTTGGCCAATTACATGGAAGAACCATATTCCTATTTTTTCCAATTTAAACTTGCGTCAAGCGAATGGACAAAGATTTTGCACAGGCGTGTTCGACCTCCGGTTGAATAATCACGTTAGCATGAATTTCACCGTGATTAACGTAATATTCGTATGAAACAATTTTGTGGCCTCCACATGTCAGTAACACGCGCATTTTTTACCCGACTGTAATCTGACCGCGATCCTTACGTTATTATCGCGATACCATATTTTTGGCAGGTTAGGTTTCTTATCTGAGAGACGTGACGAGCTGCACGTAAAACGTACAAAACGTCGAGCGTTTTGTCTTGGTGTTGCACTCTATCTATATCGTATCAGTCGATGCCAGTTAATAAATTCAATTATCTGTAAAGATAACGAGGTCAGCAAAAAAAGAAAAAGAAAAAAGAAGGAAAAGAAAGGAGACACGAAACTTGATACCATATGCCTTTAAAGGTGTACACATTGAATAACACCGTTGTGATCGATGCTAGGAAAGAATGGCGTGTTTCGCGTTTAATCTACTCGGAACAACTTCTGTCCTCGTATGACGCGACGGAAATCGAGAAAGATAATAGTTAACTGATTACACGAGTGTTTCTGTGCTGTTCTAATGTTAAAACAAAACGATGGTGCTGCTCGACGTTGGAGTTCAGTATCAATTGTCTGTCTCCCAAGGTGATCCGATGGTGCATAATAGTTATTGAATACTATCGATATCAATATTGAATGCGTTAAAATCGCTCGGCACGCCACGAGGGAAAAAAAGGAAATATTTCCGATCGGGCCACGTCCTCGGTTGGTTATGTCGCGTTCTTTCTTATCGCTGGTTGCTTTTTCGCCTGTATCGTTTACCCTTTAGTTGGCACGGTGAAAGGCATTTGCCATTCTGGATCGCTGTTAAAGAACGCGTGACACGAATGTCTTACTTACTTGAATTAGAACGCGCATTTTTGTGTAATTCGAGACAGAACTTAAGGAACTTAAGAAAACTGATCGATACAGTGCGTACATGGGAAAAAGAAGGTTTTGTTTCACTTGTTACTCGTACGTACTTAGCACGGTGTAATTTCTCGATGTTTTCTCGTCGTATTTCCATGTATTCTCAAATGCAACATTTCACTACGTTACTCAATCACATCCGTTTAATATCAATTCTGAAACCCAAATTTTCTCTTTGACATAATTCGTTCAAAATTATTCCAACTAATAAATAAAAGACTTACTATTCGTATTTATAATTTTCATCCGAATTCTTTCGAAGCAACACGTGTAACTGTTTGCAACATTACACTCGTAAGCGATTAATTAATTCGATTATCTCGAATTTGGAACTTGTCTCTAGTAACTTTTTTTTTCATCTATTTCCGGCACATTTTTATCTCTCTCGTAAGAGTTCACGTGTCGTCTGGAAAGTTCACGGACGATTCGTAAAATGGCATAGAAACGTAGAAAAACAAGAAATTTCGCGACTGGTGAGAGAAGAGTATTAATGATTCCACGCTATTGGCTATTTCGGACACAGCTAATACGCGAATATCGACGATACTATAGCGAGAACGCGGACAGACGAAAATACATTTGTGACAGTTTCCTTCCATTTGGCGGAGACGCATCTCATGAATTTCTTAACTCGATGACGTCCTTCTAAATATGCCGGCGTTTCCGGTTTCGAAAAAAAAAAAAACGTGTTAAAAAGAGAAAAAAAAAGATCTTGGGACTCACGCGTGGTGAAATACGTGAGGACACACACGCCGTAGAATGTAGTACCAAGGTTAACGCTCTATTTGGGTCAAGGCTAAAAGGTGATCCCTATTTTTGTATATGCCCTCCTGTGGCAGACCTTGAGACTATCTCAGCCCTTTCTGTGCACGTGCCCGTAGTCAGGGACCTTTGACTGCTCTACCATTTAGCGTTCCACTGATACGTCTGGCCAGATGGATATTTAGTTTACTGAAACGCTTCAGAGACTCCATAAACATCTTTCTCCGTATCTGTACACTCCAAAATCGGTAACTGTTTCATGTAACTCGCGTGGGTATACATACAAGCATCATTCTCGTAACTTTGATCTAGATCTGTTACAAATTTTTGTGTATACTATAGTCGTTTTCACGTAGCTTGTTAGTTCTATGACAGTATAAGGCTGAACTTACCAGGATCCAAATGTTGGTTTCTAAATTTTTAATCAAATATTTGACATTCAACGTTGTCACTTCGGTCACTTGTCAATTTTTCAATATCTCGTGTTCTATTTCCTCTTCAATTTTTCTTATTTTATTCCTTTGTCTATCTTCATAAGTTTAGCGTTAACCTTTGGGATAGTAAAGTAAAATAGTATTAATGGTAGTAATTGCTAATATTAATAATTTCCAGTGAATATGGTAAATATTAGTGATTATTAGTAATAATGGTTTATTGTTATTTATATTAATGGTATAATAATATTATTATTATAACTGTAATAATATTATTATTAATGGTTTATTATTATATGTTGTTTGGTAGTTTATATCGAAATTTATCGTGCGAATGTGTGATAAATTTTCGGCATTGGACGTTGTGGTTATTATTACGTCTGGCTTATACTAAAGTCTGCGAGATTCGATTAAGTAAACGAAGCGAATAAATGAATGGATAAATACAAATGAATAAATATCGTGGAAGATAATGTAAGGAGAAAGAAAGATAGGTACGAAAGAGACACATCGATTCGGTGAATTTTTCGTGTCCACGAAAGCTGGCACTCCGTGAAAAGCGTTGCTGAATTACAATTTTTTTGAAAATTCCATTCCAAGTAAATACGTGTCAGTCGATAACGGGTATCGTATGAGTTTTCATATGTCAGAAGCAAATATCGCAGTCGCTTCGTTATCGATAGGAAATAAATTAGGTTTACCGTGAAAGAGACACGTTTTCGAATCGTTCCTCGGCGATTATGCGAGAAGTAGATGTAAACGAAAAGTCAGGAAGGTAGCTTGTGTCTCGTGAAAGTTTCCTGGAGTTCCTGAAACGAAATTCAAATTCACATTAGGCACGCGACTAACGGCCACCATGATATCGTGTAACAAAATTTTCAGATCTTATAAATCTTGCTTGTATTTCGAAATTTCGTATCTTAAACTGCCCCTCTTAGAAACTAAAAATAAAACCTAAATCTGGACCTAAATCTGATCGAGGGTCTATGATGTACATTAGATTCAAAATATCTTTGGGGCCTCGAAGAAATTGGTTTTTTAAATAACTATCTTGATATTAACCCTTTGCACTCGACGATTTTTTGACTAAAGAAGAATGAAAATTCAAAGATTCTCTGCTAAAAGACTGACAGTACTTTTTTGAACAGTAAATAAAGAATTGTATGATAATAGAATCGTAGAATTATTTGATTTCGATACCTCGTACACTGTTACGTTACATTAAATTTGATATATTAATTAATATCGATCTTCCAAATTTTATGAAATGGTGACTAAAGATTATTTTTCGAGTGCAAATGGTTAAATCGTAACAACTTCCTAATTTTTAATTCTTGGTATGGCTGAACGACCTTAGCTATATTAGCTAATTCCATAAATTTTTAGCCTTCGTCGAGTGTCGAATAATCAATGACACGTATTGGTATCTGACGTCAGTTTCTATAGGGTGTCGTATTTAAAATGTCCTCGTCTTTTTTCTCAAGCTGTATTACGTAATTTCGAATAATTACAGATTCAAATTAAGTTTGGTTAGGTTAGGTTCATGTGTGCCTGGAAAGAAAGATAGTTAGGTTTTAAAAACAACATCTTACAGGATCTAACACCAAATATCTTTTCAGTTTTGTTTGTATAGTCAGATTTCTATGCATAATTCCGTGAATAAAAATTTTTCATTAACCCTTATGGGTCCAAAAAATTACGAGATATAATCAATACATTTAACCCTTTAGACTCGAAGATTTCTTCGTTGTGAAGATGCGATTCGTAGCTCTTCTTAGATTTTTATAAGCTCACTGATACTCTTTATGTTAAAATTAAAACAAGAAAATCGTGAATTTGCGTGAGAAACGAACGAATAGAATAATTTTATTTCGATGTTTTTAATATAATTATCATCATCCATTATTTAAGTTATAGCATTAAAACAAACGGTGACTGAGAGTCACCTCTCGAGTGCAAAGGTGTTAATTGTACTTAAAAATCTGTATGTATATTCACGTGTGAAGTATTGTGTAAGTATGTAAGTATTTCGTATTACTTACTATGGATAAACCAGTATGTCATTATTAGTTTCTTGGTCCTCGACGAAATAAAAGATTCGCCATTCGCCAAATCTATTAATTCCACGAAATAAAAAGTAGTAGTTGACACTGAAATTTTAAAAAACTTAAAGAGCAGAGTTCATAATTTTAGCCTGTGAACTGAAATACTACCGCTATTGCAATTAGCAAGAAATACGTCTCTGTTGTGTGTATCGCGAAGCGATTAAGTCAAATCCTTATTATTGGATACGAATTTACTTAGAAAGAATAGATATCATTGCGTGCAATGTATGAATCAGGCGATTTATAAGCCACAGAGAATGAGCATTTTGTTTTGGTTTGATGCTAGGCTAGGTTGATGCCTTACGATATCATGCTGAGTAAGTATTCAGATTAATGACTTCACGGTGTGTTTATCAACGTACCATGGTTAAACGAGTCGTAGTAATTTGTTGTAAACATGTTAGAGTGAATACACGATTCATATTTCTTCAGGAAATTCATTAGAATATCGCATATCAATTTCTCTTTGTTTTAATTTGCACGTGATTTCTCATTTACCATTTTAAAAATATCGTCGACTCCATGACAGAAAGTCTTCGAATTACTATTTTCCTGTAACGAAAAAGTCGTCGAGTGCAAAGGGTTAATATCTCAGTCTTTAAAGAAATTTTGTTCGCTTCGAGTCTCTCTGGCTGATGATTCTGGTATCTAGTTTTTATCGCGTATTAATTAACCGAGATCAATGTAACAATGTTACTTGATCAGAAGAATGCGAGTCGATCAGAGGACACCGAGAAAAACAGGAAATTATTCATTTCCATTATCTGTCATTACTCGTGGTAACAATGAGTCAAACATTATTTGTTCACGATTCTTTATTTAGTAGCAACAATTTCTCATCGGAGATGTGAAATATTCATAATACGAATTTCATACACTGTGTGCACACTTAAATGCACATGTTCCAGTCTCTGTTCATTTAGCATGTGCACATTCTTGTGCATCATCGATGCACGTTGAGCTCGATCTATACTTTGCCATTTTGTGACAATGTGTATGGTAGAATAATTTGATTTATCTCGTGTCCTATTATCATATTTGCAACACATTTCCATCTGTAGACGTAATGTAACGATGAGTTTCCAGTTATTACTGTGATTCGATTTCGATTTACTCGCCTGTATATGAATAAAAGTATGATTATAAAATTTTCAACGAGTACAGTCACTGTAGACACGTGTACTGCGTGTAACAGTATAAGCTATACTATTTCAATATTGAGATACAGGAGAAGAAATTAACAATGTATTTGTACAACAAAAGATCTTTTTAAGCAGCTTTCTAGCAGAGCATATCATAGTCACGAGTTAGTTATGTATAATTGAGCCGTTCACTGCAGGAATCGATTAACTCCACTTTTTGAAAAATCTTAACCCTTTGCACTCGAGGGGCGCCCCTCAGTCGCCATTTGATAAAATTTCGAAGCTCGATATTAATTAATATATCAAATTTAAAATAACGTAACAATGTGCCAGGTAT